GGACAATTCTAATAAGTTCGGTTGAACTGACTTCCAAGCAACTGTATGGGGTCACTCTCTAACTCTTCTGCTCCATTTTGCCATCCACAAATGGGTTGGTGGCAATATCAAACCTTTTCATTCTATTTTTCTTTTTTCCTCCTACAGCAATGGCATTTGGCTCATTTCCTTCATGTTGGCGTTCCTGCAATGGCAGCAAAGGAAGTGCTGATGAAACTTAGGAAGAAAACTGGCTATTCCTTTGTGAATTGCAAGAAAGCTCTGGAGAAATATGATGATAACATTGAAGAAGTGAGAACTTACTTTGTGTGTGCAATGTTATAATCCACATCTTTCATTTTCTCATTCTTTCTCCCTCTACCAACATGCTGCTTCCAAAAATCTCGTTTTAAAATCTGGGCAACAATCTTGTTTTAAAGCAGCAGTCCTGTGCTTGCTGACTATACAGTAAATCCTGTTGAGTGTAGAATTTAGGCTGGAGTAAATATAATTAAATCTGTACTGACTCTTGTTTCTTCTTGCCTTGAGAATCCATGCATACTTTCATAAGCACACTGCTTATAAAATCCTATTTTTGGCATTGCCTTTTCTGTGCAACTGACAAACTTTTATAAGGTTAAGGAGTGAGTAGGAAGGGGAATGCTCAGATATAGGACCGCCCATTGCTATTCCTTGTAGTCTGAAAATCCCTACATGGGGAAAACTGGAATGTGATTGAGGAACTTTTCTGTGATTTTCTAACTTTCTACCTACAGGGTCTCTTTGAAATAGGGACACATTCAGCGCTGTTCACCACTTTCTGCACTAATGGGAGAATACATTTGCTTTTATCTAATATCCCCTCGATTAAACAATATCACTCATGGGATCCAGGAAGTGGGCATTCTTTGTTATGGTGCTGCCTTCTTGAACACCATGCCTCACAAGATTTATATGCCCCCAGGCCCTGTTTAAGTGATCCCTTAACACCTGAGTCTGTCTCTAGGTCATGGGTTAGAATGGGTGATAGATCTCTTGTGAAATGTTCTGATGTTTTAATTTATGCATGTTTTTCTCTGGATTTTCTTTTGGATTATATATTCTCTCTCTCTGTATATGCATGTATGTGGATGGATGGATGGATGGATGGATGGATGGATGGATGGATGGATGGATGAATGAATGATACATTATCTCTCATTCTGGGGTTTGTCTTCAAAGGCTGAAATCTGGCTGCATGAACAAGCCCAGAAGGAGGGATGGAGCAAAGCATCGAAACTTCAGGGGCGGAAAACAAAAGAAGGGCTAATAGGGCTGCTTCAGGAGGGCAACTCAGCAGTCATGGTAGAGGTGAGTCTTTCCTTTGGAAAAGTTTCCCTGTCAGCCTTCAGGAAGGCGATGGAAGACCTTGCTTTCCAGGGCCAGGATGCTTACAGAGCTGGCATGGGGTGGTTGGCAGGTGGATGGATGTTTTTATCAGGGCCACAGTGCAGTTTATTTTAAATGGTTGTTTTATCAAACTCTGCTTTAGTGTTGTTCGCTGACCAGAATTCCTTTTGGCAGATGGGCAGCTATATTGAATGAATGAATGAATGAATGAATGAATGAATGAATGAATGAATGAATATTAGACGTCTTGGAGCAAGCATGATAATTTGGGAATATGCTTCCTTTGTAATTTAACAACTATATAGGTGTGCTCTGTCTTGAGTATGGTGCTCGTCAATGTTTTGAGTCTCTTTGGAAGGGGTGTTCAAAATGTTTCAAATTTGAACCATTAAAGTTAAAAATGGCTGTTTCAAATTCAGACAACAGTTTCGCATTTGAAATGGGCTGCCTCAGTTACTTAGGGAGTGAGTTCAAAGTGGACTGTGTCAAACTTGAATTACTGCTTCCAAAATGATCAGACGGTCTATTTCAAACTCACAAGGGGGTATTTTGAATTTGAAATGGGTCTCTGTACCATCGCTCTTTCACCGCAGGCAGCAGGGCTAGTGATCAGGGATAATAAGAAATGAATATTTTGCATTATAGTCTCCTGTAATTCCTAAAAGCAGACATGGCCTCGCTGGGTATGAGACTGGAGGTTTGCCTTGCAAGCATGAGCTCTCAAGAAAAGGCGCTTTCTTTAGGTTTCCGTGTAACACTGTAGATACAGACACTTTCTTTTGAGCCTGCTGAAGTATCTCTGAAAAATCTCTGGTCTTTCCCAGATTCAAGCATCAAGGAAATCTAATTTCTCTCAAGCGTGGATCAATTCACTGGTGTGTTTAACTTCCTGGGTTTTCTCCTTTATTTAATTTTGTTGAGCAGTACTAGCATTGAATAAATGACGTGGTGCTGGGATCCGGTTTTTTTATAATAGGATGCTGCTCAGAGTCTGCGTCAAAGACAAAAAGATAGCTGCAGCTGTTTGGCAGCTGTTTTCATTTTCTTTTTTAGTCTTCCAGGGCAAAAAAAAAAAAACCAGGCAGGAAAGCTACTGAGGATCTCTTCAGCATCCATTTTATGTCCAGTTCTCATTAGACAAGCGCAAACCTTATAGTGGTGGGGCTATTTTTAGCAGTAGTTCCAGTGTTAAGCTAGTAATAAACATGCAGTAAACAGAGAGCTATTTTTTAACATTAAAATAGTATTTATCAGTTATTTTACACACAACGTTATATTTAGCTTTGATTCATTATAGTTCAGAATACAGGGTATTTTTACAGGGTAAGGAAGAGGAAAATGCCGTCATCAGATTACTAAAAAGTTGGGATCTCACTTTTACCCAGCTATAACTTTGGGGAACAAAGTCTCTGTGTCTATCTCTATTTCAACCTCTTCAGCAATATAACTGCAGGTGAGACGTTTCTAAGGTAATCATGTTTCTCTGCCAGGTGAACTGTGAGACAGATTTTGTGGCCCAAAATGTTAAATTTCAGCAGCTGGTTCAGCAAGTAGCAATTGGAACAATGATGCACCATAAGGAAACCATGGACCAGTCAAACACATATGCTAAGGTAAGAATGATGTACACACATATCTGTGGGTTTCAGAAACATCTGGTGCTTTTTAAAGAAATGGTATGTAATGTTTCAAAGCACTGTATTTAAATCTTCCTGCTGGGTGATTCTTAACAAGCACCTTCAAACAAAACTTTAGTTGGGTGATTAAAAATGGAAGAGGTGTCAAGGTAATTTTTTAGGTTGGGGCTGGCCAGCATGGCATCTTTGAGGCAGGATCAAAATCCTGCTTATCTTGGGCTGAGCAGGGAGCACTTTCTCTGCTTTGTTTGCCGAACATCCCTGCCAGAACCAAGAAGCCTAAGAGACTAGTGCACTGCTTCTGACCAGGAGCAGGTATGTATTCCCCATATGAAATGATACTAAGGTATCTCCTCAGAGGCTGCTGCAGAAGTGCAGTGATTCTTTGGCCTTAAGCCCTTCAGTAGAAAACTGCCCCTTGCTGCAAAATTACCTCACAGCTCATGCCTTGCATCTAAAGTAAATGAGTGTCTGAGATTTATTTATTTATAGTTTTGTATATTGCTGTACTGTGAGAAAACACCTAATAATTTAGGCCTTTTCCTTGTTCAGGATCATCTTAGCATGAATCCACTGATCTCTGTTTTAACCAGGCCAGAGTATGTCTCAAAAGCTCCATGGTGTGTGTTCAACTCAGTGGTGGTTAAACTCTCCGGACAGCACAGGAGCTATATGCTCCAGGACAGGGATAGCCCACTTTTTTGGTGGGAGTGATGGCCATAGTAGATGGGGCAATGATGCAAAATGAACAGAACTTCTACATAAGATGATCTGTTGTTGTTCATTTTTTTTAATTTTGGGAGTTGAAAGTTTTCTGTTGTAGTTGTTTCCTTTTTGAGCTGTGTGAGGATTATCTTAAGATACAGAGTTTTCAAGTGTTTACCTTAAAACGCTATGAAACATGCTACTGATTTTGGCTACTGTCAAAATCCAGCAATTAAGTCAAAGAGCTCTAGGTTTCAGAGGCTACACATGCATCTGTGTCTGTAGGCTCCTTACCTTTGCTCTGGAAAAAAAAAAGTGTTTCTGAAGTAGTGGTGCTGCAGAGAATTCCTTCTTGGTTTCCCAATGTCAATTTGCACCTCTTTAGATACCCCTTGCTAAGCGTGTGCAAGAGAGAAACAGTGTGATATTGAAAGATACTTCATTAACGAAGTAACCCTCAGTGCCCAGTTTCCTTGCAGCTTTTCCCCTTTTGGAGTATAATTATACTACGGCCTGTGTTTGTGTTGCTCTTCTGTAAAATTTGCCATATTGAAGCAGTAGCCAGGCAGCACTTCTAGCATCTCTTTGTCAAGAGCACAGGTTTTGCATGGGAACCTTCCTGCATGATCTGCTTCTTGCAGGCTGGCTTCTGCAGCAGATGGGGTCTGCTGATCCCACAAGTTCCTGCACACAAGCCCTGCTTGCGTATTGGTGTTCCTTTGCAAACAATGCTGTCCAGTGAGTGGAGATCAGAGCAGCTCCTTGAGCAGCTGGGCTAAAAGTGCAGCCTCAGTCCTGCTGTAGGACATGCAGACCTTCCATGCAAAGATCACCTCAGTTGATCTGAGGCCAGGCTGGTAAACATAAATAACAGTCAAGCTCTGTTACATACAAAACCATGATTTTGGCCTCTTCATAAGACAGCCTACTTCATAATCAGCATGTTTTCTCATTTTTGTAGTTAGGAATTGGAAGTTGTTGGGAAAGGTGCACAGTTTACACATATCATCTGTGTTCAGTGAAGCTAAAGCATGTCTCAAAGGCTCTGGAAATCGCTGCCACTCTTGATAGTGGTTAATGATCATCTTGTATTTTTACTGGATGTCCCATCTCTGTCAGAAATCAGGCTAGAATGAAGGAGGCTTCCTCTGTAATTCGGTTGCACATTGCATTCAGGGAGAACAGTCGCACCCACAAGCTGATCAGGCCCTTTGCCCCTTAAGTGCTTCTCCACCAGTGTTGTTATGATTATTATGTCTATTTTAAATTTAATTACTGTATTTTTTTTTGGTTCTAGTATTTTAGCTTGTTTATTTATGGATTGTAACCAACCACTAGATTATCTAGATAGTAGGTGGTCTTTAAACAATTAAGTGCATTTTCAATTAAATAAATAACTTACAAACCAGTAGCTGGCAACCTTTGGAGCTTTCCAGATACTGTTTGCTGTAAGAGCATATGAAGTAGTCCTAATTCTATTGGTGGGGGGCAAATTGGATGCGTTTGGTGAAAGAGAAATAATACAGGAAAACTGTAGAACTCTCTTTTAAATGATTGTTATTGCTTCAGCATTAGACTACCGCTTCTTGCTGGCTATTGGCTGCCAATGTGGTTTGTGCCTCTCTCTTCATTCCATTTTCATTATTCCCAATCCACATCATCACTACATCAGAAGAAAGACAATGCATACAGTCAAGTCTCTAAAAAGAAGCAGTCACTGGATTTAGTTTGCAGGTTTCCATTTAAAAATTAATTGATACCATGTTTGCTATGTTTTGTAGCATTTCTTAAATTCTGATGAGCTTTCTCAACTCAGGATGGGACCAGAGAGATCATTGCTCATTGACCAACTTGCTCTGGCGATAGGTGAGTGTTTGGTGCCCAGTAATAGCCAGAAATGGGTAGAAGTGGGCAGCAGCAATTTCCTGTTTTCATACACTGTTTCTTTCTTTTGAATGGATGGAATTTATGACTGATAGATACACATTTATATTCTACCCGTTCTCCAAGAGCTCAAGGCAACATACAACTGGGCCTCTGCTCATTTATCCCTCTCCCAATGACATTCCTGGGTGAGGGAGGTTGGGCCAAGAAAGAGTGGCTGGCCCAAAGTGACCCAGTCAGCTTTGCGCCATCTGGGGGACATCAACTCTTAAGCTACTATCCTAATTTTGAGGGGACTCTTCAAATATTCCACCTTACTTACATTGTTGCTTTGCTGCTTGTTGGTGAGCCCTGAAACATTCTCTGCACCTTTATTGGTTCGTGCTGTTGTCTCTGCTCCCTCTCCCCATTTTTTCTTTTTTCTTTTAAAGGCAAGCTAGGCGAGAACATGGTTGTTAAAAGGGCAGCATGCGTATCAGTGCCTGAGAACTTCTTCATCGGCTCTTACGTACATGGGTCACTCTCAGAGAGAAGCCCGTTGCTTTCTAACCTGTTACTTGGCAAATATGGTGCCGTGGTGATCTGCAGTTCCTCGGAGCAAGACCAAAAGTCAGATGTTACAGAACTGGGCTGGAGGCTGGCCCAACACGTGGTGGGTATGGCCCCTCTCTCTGTAGGCTCTCTGGAAGATGAACCTGGAGATGAATCTGAAACGAAGATGCTTGCCCAGCCATACGTTATGCAGCCAACTATTTCCTTGGGACAATACCTTCAGCCTACTGGTGTATCTGTGTTGGATTTTGTACGGTT